GTGGAATCAGCCACTTTCTTGTCGTACTATGATGTGGAACCAGCCTCGTCCTTGCCACACCATGACGTGGAATCAGCCACTTCCTTGTCACACGATGATGTGGAACCAGCCTCGTCCTTGCCACACCATGACGTGGAATCAGCCACTTCCTTGTCACACGATGATGTGGAACCAGCCTCTTCCTTGCCACACCCTAATGCGGAACCAGCCACTTCCTTGTCACACCATGATGTGGAACCAGCCTCTTCCGTGTCACACGATGATGTGGAATAGTACGACAAGGAAGTGGCTGATTCCACATCATCGTGTGACACGGAAGAGGCTGGTTCCACATCATGGTGTGACAAGGACGAGGCTGGTTCCACATCATGGTGTGACAAGGACGAGGCTGGTTCCACATCATGGTGTGACAAGGGCATGGCTGGTTCCACATTATGGTGTGACAAGGAAGTGGCTGGTTCCACATCATCGTGTGACAAGGAAGTGGCTGGTTCCGCATTAGGGTGTGGCAAGGAAGAGGCTGGTTCCACATCATCGTGTGACAAGGTGATGTTGAACCAGCCTTGTCCACATCATGATAGGACAAGGACGAGGCTGGTTCCACATCATAGCACGACAACAAAGTGGCTGATTCCACATCATCGTGTGAGAAACACGTGGCTGGTTCCGCATTAGGGTGTGGCAAGGAAGAGGCTGGTTCCACATCATAGTACGACAAGAAAGTGGCTGATTCCACATCATCGTGTGAGAAACACGTGGCTGGTTCCGCATTAGGGTGTGGCAAGGAAGATGCTGGTTCCACATCATCGTGTGACAAGGAAGTGGCTGATTCCGCATTATGGTGTGAGAAACACGTGGCTGGTTCCACATCATGGTGTGACAAGGAACCAGCCACTTCCTTGTCACACCATGATGGGGAGCCAGCCGGCTGGCTCAACATCATGGTATGACAAGAGCGTGGCTGGCTCCACATCATGATATGACAAGGAAGTGCCTATCTTCACATAGTCAGACAAGGAAAAAGTTTCTTGCCACACCATGATATGGAGCCAGCCACGTCCTCACGCCATGATGTGCAGCCAGCCACTTCCATATCATACGGCAATCCAGAGTCAAGCACGTCCCTGGCTCACCATGTAGACCCTTCGTGTGTCACATCTGACTATCCTGTTGAACAAGCCTTGATGCTTAATGATGATTGTCATGATCTACAACCCTATGATGGAGTAGAGGTGGATGGCCTTAGTATGACTGATACTGTCATATCGTCGCCAGATGAAAGTGATAGTGACATGAGCGATGTAATCTCTATCTTAAATGAACAATCAATTTCCAAGCCTATACCAGCTATTAACACAGATCGTACGTACTTTGCAGACAAACCAAGGATTTTTTTCCTAAATACTGAAAAGTCTGAAAAAGGAAAGAAATGTCAGCTAAAGAAAAGTGACAGAGTTTTCAAAACCAAACATGCATGTCTGTATTGTAGAAAGATGGTCTGTAAGCCAACCGCTCACATGTGCGCTGTCCACAAAGACCAAAAGGAAATCATTAGTCTTACCCATTTAATGAGAGCAGAGTGTGACAATGAAACAACCAGAGAGCAGAAAGTTAAAGAACGTCAACGACAGGTGAATATACTTCGCAACAAGGGTAACCACATGCACAACCTCCGTGTGCTCGAAGCCAATGAAGGTGAAATTATTTTGAGCAGAAGACCAGCAGCACCAGGAACTGTCTATTTAGACAGCTATGGACCTTGCAAACATTGTTATGCATGGTGTTGCGACATGACAAAACATCAGAATTACAGATGCATTGGTATGATTGATAAAACTACCAAGGTCAGTAAAAGATGTGCTGAATTGCAAAGTGATATTTTGAAGGGAAGATACAGTGATGCATCCCAGCTACTAAAGGATGAGGTTTATCCCCGCATGTTGAATGATGAGGTAACACAGATAGCCACAAGTGATCCAATCATTGTTGAACTAGGAAATTCCTGGATAAGAAAGTCTAGAAAGAATAAGCTGCGAAGAGCCAATTATGCAAGCACAAAGATGAGGACAGCAGCTCGGTTACTGAAAACTCTGAGAAGATTTGATTCAACACATGTGAATATGACAGATTTCCTGGTTCCAGCAAAATTTGAAATGGTAGTCTCTGCCACTGTGAAAACCTGTGGTGGAACTGAAGATAGTTTCTCGCATCCTTGCACTGCCATCAAACTTGGACACGACATACAGCGAATGACAGATATTAAGGAAACAAAAGCACTCATGGATGGAAACAAGCAGCAACAAGTGAATGCAGAGAACTTCAATAAATTAATGAGAAAGAACTGGCATGAGCATATAACATCGCTTGCTAATGCTGTAATAACAGAACGTAATTTCAACAAGTTAGTGTTACTTCCAAAGCCTGATGACTTGAAAAAACTCTCAGACCACATCCAAGGAGAAATAGGAAAGATGGATGTAATTAAAGACAAAAGTGACTTCAGGAGAGCTGTGGAATTGGTTGAGGCTCGCCTTCTTACTTACAACAAAAGACGGCCGGGAGAACTTGAGGCTATAAGGTGAGGAATAAGTTAAACATTGAAGTTCTTTTACCCTATACTATTTTGTATTCTAACATGGCAGGGTAGTGCACAAAAAAGGAAAATCCTCAAGGAAGTTAACACGAGCTGCAATCTGTTCTTATATTTAATGTTGGTCCTCATATTTTCCTAAGTACGTCTTTCCTAATCGTACTTCTAAGCATAATACTATTTGTTAGAAAACTCTGGTGGCATCATTGTCATAAAAGAATCCAATCATGCATGTTTCAAAAATACTATTTGGGTCCGCATAGGCAAAGTCCTATTTGATACCATGTTGATCAACACAGTCTAATCGTTCTGTTTAAAAAAATAAAATATAAACTACTTGGATACCTATACTTGTGTTGTCAAATTCTTGTCAAGGTTATTAACATTTCAGCAAGCAAGCATCAAGGTTTTATAAACTTGTGCTAGCGTATGCGATTCAGAAAATATACATATATATATTAACAGCTGCCTGCAGTTTTATGTAAATAATGCTAGCATATTATCTTGCCAGTCATCATTATATTTAAATATGTAACATATATTACTGTATTATATTTCTTAACGTTTTCTGTTTATCAGCTTGCAGCACTACACTAATAGACCAGAAGAAGAAGAAGACCACCTAGAAGAGTTTAGGGCAGATTTGACAGATCTCGAGAAGCAACTGGTTAGATCACATGAAGTACTGACTGTACGAGGCAAACGAGGACGGCCTGTACCTGTGCTCATCCCACCTGATGTGTGTCATCTTTTAAAGTTAATATCTGATGAAGATGTTCGGCGTATGGCTGATGTACAGGGTTCTCCGTATCTGTTTCCAAATTATGGTAAGAGGTTAAAAAAATTGCGTAGCTATTTACCTCAAATTTACTGTTAATGAATGCAGTACAGTCGAACCTCATTACTCCTAACCTCTTAAGGCATTGAAGATTAATATGTTGTAAAGGTGGTACATTACAACCAGTTAATAATTCCATAAATAATGGATACAAATTCCGAACTTGGAGAATTATAGTACTTTTAGTATACGGGTGTAAACATTATAAACGGGGTACATTGTATCAAGATTCGACTGTAGTTGGTCAATATTTATTTGTGTAACCCGTCGAGTAGCGGAAGCTGATCTATAGAGAAAATGCAGCCTCAGTGGTGATGTTCTGAAGTGAATCGTATGCCCTAACCACACTGGTGCCTGAAACATGCAATGTGTCAATAACATTAATGTTGTTATTTATTATAAGTTTATAATATTCAAAAGGTTATGTTGCATTGAAATTGTAATTAACTTGCCCTGAACTTGTAAAATCTACACTACTGAGAAAGTATGTCGCTACAACATGTCAGGTAATGTGCAGGGTTATAATACATAGTCATAATTAACTCACCCATATTGGAATTTAATACCGGTTGGTTTCTAGTTCTTAAACCTGGTGTTTTTAGTCAAATTGACATAATCAAATTGTTTTTACCCCTCCGAATGTCTGTTTGTGGTTCTTCCTGATTTTAACAATTATATAATTGTTAATCGGTAGAGTTGGGACCGTTAAAATATACCGAGTTAAGGAGAATGCTAGGTTAGACTTAGTACTAAAATACATAGAGACATAGGGAACAGAATTGTTTTTGCAAATCTAGCGGTTTACCGAGGTAACCAGTACTGAGTAGGTGGAGCTAGTCTACTGCGTCTCTCTGTGTGTGTATGTATGTACGTAAATACTACGTATGTATATATATATATCCCATTTGCATGTAAAGGAGTACAAAACTGCTCAAAGATAAAACTGTACGTTTAGTTGATATCTGCAGCTGTGCTAGAATAATTATGAGATACTAAATAAGGCAGATAAGGGCTATATGTCTCCCTGGGTACTGCCGGAACGTATACACTGGGTACGTCCGGTATACCGGCCCGGAACGTACCCTGGTAACTATCTGATATGGTTAGGGTTAGGGTTAGGGAGTAGGCGTAGGCGACTCCCTAGACTCGTTAGTGGAGTAGGAGAGGTACGGTCCGGCATATTATATAGTACCAGGGTACGTATCCGGTATATCGGGGTATACCGGGATAAGGTATAGTACCCAGAGAGACATAGACCCTACGGCCTAAATAAGACATTAGGTTTTTCATGCACTGAGTAAATTTTGTCATCTCATTAATGTCAATCTCTTCATTAAGTGAATGGCTCTCTCTGCCAAATTAATGTTGAAAATGTGTTTTTAGGTTCTCAAACCTTTGATAGCATGCAATGAGTGGGTAGCAAATCACCTTGGACATTCTGTTAATGTTCATAAAAGACTTTTACCGAGTCATGTCATCCACCATCGAGAAAGGAAAAATTTCTAAACTTTTAATGCTAGCTGATCGTGGAGAAGTTGCGAAATATCATGGAAAGACTTTGCAGGAGATTAGTTTTGATGGTATGTTTATTATCTTCCTTGTCAGGTAACAGTATTCTACAGGGATTGTATATTATATTTAGTCGTCTTGGTCTGTCTGACACGTACAGTAACTGTCATAACTTCGCTGTCAACCGCTGATTGCATGCATGGACAGCACAAGCTGAGTGACATCGGATAGATCCAGAGAGACCGGGTACAAGATGGCGTTGCGCAAAGAATGCGTTGTTCCCGACCGCCAGAGCGGTTACAACGCGCGCACGTTCCGCGGGACTGGGCGCACCGCGACCGGCGGTGTGTTGTCTGTAGTCTTATTCAGCGGCTGCCCGCTATACGAATTCGCGCGCCGAAGGAGGGCGGGGCGCGCTGAATCGTATAGCGGAAAGCGTAACATCGCGCAGTTTTCGTCACACGCTACCCACGGCTCGCTACGGCGGCAATTTGCTGGCTGCCTGCTTGCGCTGCGACGGGTCTATGTCCCCGGGGTAGTGCCGGAACGTACGCTGGGTACGGTTCGGTATACCGGAACGTTACCGCTGGCAACTATGTAATATGCGGGACCGTACCTCGCGCCCTACTCCACAAACGAGTGTAGGGAGTCGCCGTCAGCTCTCGCTCTCCTAACCTGAACGCGAAGCCTAACCCTAACCTACCTAACCCTAACTACCTAATCCCTAACGCCTACCATATCAAATTAGTGACCACAGGCGTTCCGGTATACGGACGCTACCGCAGGGTACGTTCGCGACAGTACCGCCTGGGGACTAGCCCATTATGAGCGCTGGCTGCTGTGCTTTGTTGTCGCGGGCGCTGCAGGGGCGAGTTTTGGTGCTGGGCGCTGCTTTGCGCAGTATCTACAGATTAGGTACGTGTAAAACTGGCCACGGCCACGCGCCACCACGTGCTCGCAGTATTCGCCGGCGCAGCGAATTTTTTTTTCCGGACGAACGGTATACCCATAGCAAAGAATATAGCGCCTTCTGATTGGTTTGCTTTCGATTTTCTTATATACTATTATACTAAGATTATATGTTTATATTTTTATTGAGGTATGTTTAGGTTAGGGATTAGGGCTTATGAGTGTTAGGTTAGGGTTAGGGTTAGGGTTAGGGTTATACCACTTCTGTAGTACAAGTCTGGTAGCACTTTGTGTATACATATATATATATATATATCATATATATATGTAGCCTCGGGTAGCACATCTGGTTCAAGGATAGAGAAGCATGGGTCCCATAAACCAATGTCATTTACATCAAATATAATATAAAATTTAATATTACATCAATATAATAGTTATGCGGTTATGGTAATTAGGGTTAGGGTTAGATTGGGTTCAGGGTTACGAGTAGGGTTCAGGGGTTAGGTTTAGGCACATTGCTTTTTATGGGACCCATTTCTCTATCCTTGGGCCATACTGCGCGCGTACCTGTTACGACAACGACCCCTTCAAGCACTACTACTACTATGAGCTATACGACGGTACTAATACGTAGGGCCTAGTACTAGGGCTACGAGCAGTACAGAGCTATACGTACTCGTACTGCGACGCACTGCAGCCCGCGTATACGCGCGAAGCGCGAACAGCACGCACCTCCGTGGTGCATTAGAGTCAAATGTGCTGCCACATATGTACTACTATATACGCAATGCACTTTGTTGTAGTACATTAAGCCCGCAGAATGCGTGAATTGAGCAATTCTGCGCTGCACAAGGCTGTTTCGACTTTCACGTAGGCGAGAATAAATTCAGTGGTCGTAATTGGCTAGTCTTTTTTATTGGCGCGCGTGCTTTCCGTTTAGAAAAAGAATTCTCGCCTTTCGCTGATTTATGCCCTGATCATTAATTTGGAAGTTATCGCCACCCATAGATGCGTACGAAATCCATTGTACGTACCATTGCACAAGTGTTTTTTAAAAAACAGCTTGGGCTTGCATGACGTAGACTGCCGCGCGTCCACAGTTCCCACGGCTAGCGTAACTGACTTCAGTGTAGCAGCAGTCTACTCGATCGTGACGGTCGCACTGTCATTCTCGTAGCCCATCTTATTTTTCGTACGCCGGTGATGATGGTTGTTTTAGACTCAGCAATGGGTTATGTGCAACCACCAGCCGTATGTCTACGTGTTATTACGCTCCCCATGCTGGCTCATGTTTTGGCCATCATGACGTCATATGTTCAGGCCATTGGTATATATACAGAGCGGCGTGCTATAAGACCATAGCCGGTGTGCCATACCCGTACAGCATACAGGCTAGAGCATATGTTTTCGAATCATATACATACCCATCGATCTTGCATGCCATCGATATATTATTGGGCGCGCATTGTACTGCGTGCAAGTTGTAAGGTTCTTCCATGTGAGGAGTCCAAAGGACGAAAGGTATCTTTGCATAGGTGAGCGAACGTTGCAATACTAAATAATGTCCTCATAGTCTCGTAATACTACTAATAGTACTAGTACTAGTAGTCGTGAAAATAGTTACACGTAACTCTGTAGTACATTGAATGTTCATGTGTTTCTACATGCTGACCAACGAAATAACGTTCATACCGCACACATGTGTAATCGTTGTATTGTTTGTTACAAGCAATAATAGTGATTAGTATAGTGCGTATTATGCCCATGCGTTAGTTCAGCTTTAAATCATTGTGGTGCTTTGTTGTACGTGCATGAATAGGGAGGTTGCGTTAGGAGAGACTTCTTCATATTTAAGGCGAATTCGCCAAATGCGGTAGCTTATAGATGCGATTCAAGCGGAAAACGCGCACGATGTTCTGCTATTGGACGGGCACATAACCCGAATACGCCGACAACCATGTCCGTCGGCAATATCAAGCAATATCAGCAAACTTCAGTGAAGGCAGTAGTAGCCGATGTATACGTTCTTTGTTGAGAAATGCGTCACGCGTTTCCTGAACATCAATGCCCGTGTGGTTGCGTTAGGGCTCGATGTATAAGCTTCTATGACTTCATATCATAATAATTACCCGTACGTTACGTTAGTTGCTAAGTATATTAGTCTACTTTCACGCCACCCTGCTTAATTTTGCACCCAGTGTAATAACGGCAATAGTTTTTCTTCTCTTTATATTCATGTTCCGTCGTAGAAGGGTTAGTTTACGTTCAGCTGACCTCAAGGTCTCGGGCGGCAACTCTGCGGCAATCAGACGCGCAGTGTAATACGGCGGCACACGCAAAGTATAACCTAGACTGCTCCCTGTCGACAGTCCAGACACGCTTACACTAACTGAACGCAACTAATTGCTTACGCAAATCAGTCTTGTCGCAGTGGTAGAGCGCACGCGAGATCGCCATGCTATCTATGCAGTTTCATAACCCTGCAGTTTAACCCTTGCATAACTCAAAGCGGGAACTAGCCTATCTGCAGCCAGCATGAGGGCAGCATAATAATGTTATACTGTCAGTGTAATCATTTTCTTACTACCTTTCTGTTCATTGAGTCCATATAACCACAAAACTGACAAATGTTCTTTTAATGATAGTCATTACAAATGCTTAGTCTTCAAGTAGATCTTGCATCTATTATAACGGCTATATACATTTATTTTTACATGCAAAACGAGAGGCTACGCGGCGGCACGTTAGGCCTATACGCGTCTTTAGACACTTACTAGCCGGATCAGACCACTTTGATACTTCACAATAAAAATCGTTCCAACCACCATGCTGCGTTATTCACGCACCCCTGCTAATT